AATTTCCGGACGGATTTCCCTGCCAACTGCCCAACTTCCAAAGGGCATAACTCACTCATACGAACTCGAAATCGAGAAAACTTGGTGGCGTTAGAAAGATCATTCCACGAGATTCGCAAACATAACTGGAACTTCTCCTAAATCATCCTGAGCTAGGAGTTATAACTGCTCAAAGTTGGCCAAAAACTCACTTTTTTCCCATACTTAGCCAAATTTCCAGATTTCCAAATTCTTCCCAAAAATGAAATTTTCCAATTTTTAAGACTTGCAAGATGTCACAATACGCCTCTGGTGAAATAAAAGTGCAAATCTCATGTTTATTTCATCAAATAGAGCGACAATAGGAAATTCTCTTTCAACATCAAACATAGAATTCACCAACTCCGCCATGTTTGACGTTATAATGTTATATCTACACAACAAAAAATAAAAATCAATCAAAACACATAAAATTACAATAAACTCAAACGAGATGGTATAGACAATAATGTACATATTTCCATGGCAAATTCCCTGCTCCATGTGTGGAACCAATACGTTCAAGAGTTTTAGCCGCCTTTGGTACCAAATCTCTTATTTGATTGAAATGGTCATTGAACTTACATCCATCGTACGCCTTTGCTGCTTTAAAAATGGGTCACTACTTTTGAATTGTGAAAGTTATTTCGAATATTTTCCCCAAGGTGTCTCATGCAACAACCATAATGAGATGCAGGGTAGATAGTCGAAACCATCTTTCGAATACTTGGATGCCTATCAGAAATAATGCACAACTCATCAGTATCATCTACAAAGCTTCTCATATTTTGAAAAAAATATTCATATGAGGCATCGCATTCCTTGTCCTTAACACAAAAAACCACTGGAAATATATGATTCTCAGCATCTTGTGCCACCGCCGATAACAAAACTCCTTCATACTTGCTCCTCAGGAATGTCCCATCAACGGCTATTACTTTTCTCATTTCTTGAAAACCAGTTATCCAAGCGGCATATGATACAAGAAGTACTTGAACCTCTCATTTTCATCTAGCGACAATGTCGTCTTGCTTCCTGGATTTGCAACTTCAAGCATATAACGGTACACATTAAGCACTGCATATTTGTGCTCATGTGTTCCCCTAACATTAGACTTAGCATGCTTCATGCCCTTATAAATCTTCCAATAGCTTACCTTACAACCCAATTCTGTGCGGAGTGGATTTGACATATCTCTTGTGGATAGGCCTTTACCAGTGAGAAACCTATTTTCAAAGTACTTACCTATGACTTTTGTCGTGGCATGGGAATTATGGCTTGTAAGATGCTTTGAACCACACGTATGGTACTTTTCATAGATTCTAATGACAAACCTGCCGCTACTTGTAAATTTCACAGCCCTCAGCCACCAATTGCACTCCGGATATGAACATTTAAAAGAAAACACATTACGAGAATTGATCACCTTTTTTAGTTTAAAATCTTTTTTCAAGCAAGCAATTTTCAATGAATTTGTCAGTTCTTCCTTGTTCTTGAATGTCATTCCCTTATAAAAAATCAGTTTCATCATCTTGAACATTATTCACACGTGATGATTGAGAAGAACATGGAATGTTGCTGCCAACAATAGGTGTAGGAGGATTGTTGCTCTCAAAGTCCAACAATTCATCTTTTCCAATTTCAGCATCGTGATTATTCATGTCCACATCATTAAATTCATCATTTAACATATCTTGTTGGTCTTCTTCTAGATTATGATCCTCCTCGATGGGATTTTCATCCACGTAGACTCTTAAAATGGGAGGTCAATCTGCTCCTCCCAAATAAACAACCAAACTAGGCTGATCATTTATTTTAAAAGGTAAGACCTTCTCATTATGAAAAAAATGGGGAATATAACTCATGACAAGATCTTTCAGTTGACAATTGTATCCACATTTTTGCATGACTAAATTCACAAAATCATCATACAAAATATTTATTTCGATAGTCATCCCTACCGACCCTCCCCGTTTCTTACCATCCTTCCAACGTCAAATGTATCGATTTTTTCTTCTCGACCCATTCACCACGACAATCAATCCCTACAAATAATCCCTCCATTTATTGTACCTGAAGAAATTAATTAAAAAATAATTAGTACTAATGAAGAAATGTGTAAGTCATATATTGCAACATATGACTATTATGTGGCGACATGTAAGTCATATGTTGCTACATATAACTGATATGTTATGACAAATAAATCACATGTGACAACATGTGTAAGTTATATGTCGCAACATATGGTTATTCTATTGCGAAATGTAAGTCATATGTTGCTACATATAATTATTCTGTTGCGAAACATAAATCACATGTTGTGACAAAATGTGTGAGTCATATGTTGCAACATATGACTATTTTGTGGCGATATGTAAGTCATATGTTGCAACATATGACTATTATGTGGTGACATGTAAGTCATATTTTGCTACATATAAATGATATCTTGTGACAAATAAATCACATGTGTAAGTTATATGTAGCAACATATATATGGCTATCCTGTTGCGAAATGTAAGTCATACGTTGCTACATATAACTATTGTGTTGTGAAACATAAATCACATGTTGTGACAAAATGTATAAGTCATATGTTGCAACATATATATCCATCTATTCGAAACGCGAATGCAAATTATTGAAAAAATTGCGGCTACCCAGATGATGTGAATGATTTCAAAGAAGTGTTAATTTTACTTACCAAAACAATGATGTGTGCACCCAATCACTTATGAAGTAATTTCAATTGATACAGAACGAAATCCGGTCCACTGATTAGATTAGCTAAATCTTATCCAAGAAAATGAAAAGAAGAAGAAAAAAGCTCAAGGACTAGCGGCCAAGACCAACAATGTACGAAAAGATGAAGAAGAAGATGAAGAGAACAGGAAGAAGAAAGGCAAGCAACCAAGCAAGAATAGAGCAAGAACAAAGCAGAAGAAAAATAAGAAGAGGAATACGGGGGGAGGCGGGGGGAAAATGATTTATTTCCCCCCTTTTGGTACAGCTCGCTGGTGGTGGCTTCCCTCCAATTTTGGTTCCCACCAAAATTGGTTAAACTAGGTTTTAGTCATTTACCCTTTTACCCTTCATTTAATTCAATGGACCAAATTGCCAACTTATAAATTTGAGGGCAATTTCACAATCCTTAATCATTAATCACATAATTGTCATCTACACTCAATAATTAAGACTTATGTTACCGCTCTTTTATTTTGACACCTTAATGTCACCTTTAATTCAAAGCCCTGGTTACATCAATTTGGAGATTAGGAAGTTGAAAGATGAATGGAATCATGTGACACTGATAGCAGAATTAGAGCCTTCCTTTCCAATTACTTTTCGCGCGCCACTATGATATTACAAAAAAACATTGTTTCTACCATCTGAATTGAAATGTTAATCCGAAATTATTGATTTATTAGTAATGGGTA